GAGAGAGAGAGAGAGAGAGAGAGAGAGAGAGAGAGAGAGAGAGAGAGAGAGAGAGAGAGAGAGAGAGAGAGAGAGAGAGAGAGAGAGAGAGAGAGAGAGAGAGAGAGAGAGAGAGAGAGAGAGAGAGAGAGAGAGAGGGACCTAAAAACTTCTAAGAATGGAAATTGTCAGTGACCAGAGAAGACCGTCTGCCTAAAGCTGAGAGGAGGCATTGATGAAAAAGGAATCTGTGAGGCTGAAAAGAATACGCTGTTGTCAAAAAAGACTGGGCCAATTCTGGAATACTAACTAAGAACTCTTTCCTTACAGTATTTTATAGCAATTCACACTGATTTTTTTTCTCATATTATGTTTCTGGAAGTAAGCAGCATAGTTCTTCTGAAAATATTCATTTTATTCAAATGAGTTTACCACCATGGTTTGTGGTATAAGTCCTTTGCATTTACAGTTATTTCTACCACAAGTATAACATCTGATCATACGTTATTACTTATTTTTAAAAAGTTTTTTCCATTAAAAAGGTTTTGTTTTATTTCCGTTCTAAACATTCCACTTTTAGCTTTGTTCTTTATCTACTTTTTAATAAAGTATTTCTTTAACCTATATATAATGTATACATAATCTTATTTTATTGTACCATTTAACCTAATTAAATATTCTAAAATGTCTGAGTTCTTACAAGAAATATTTTGCATCCTATACAATGTGAGTCATATAACATTATACAACCATATAACTCTGATTCTTTTTAGATTTCACTGAAAGGTTTAGATCAGTGGTGGCGAACCTATGGCACGCGTGCCAGAGGCGGCACTCAGAGCCCTCTCTGTGGGCATGCGTGCCATGCCCCGGAGATGGCAACCGTCCCTCTTTAACCAGCCGCCTAACTCACCGAGGTCCCACGTGGCCGGATGCATCCCAGCACGGTTGGTTTCCCTCCCCCCGTTCCATCTCTCCTGGCCTCGCATGCTCTCCTTTTCCCGGGCACAACCCACTGCATTGCCCCCTCAGCTGTCGGCCGGCCGGCCAGCTCAGAGGCAGCTTCTCTGAACTGCTGACGGCGGGCTGTGGAGCTGCTGATAGACACTGTCGGCCCCCATGTGCTCGCTGGCCTCTGTGTGTGGGGGCTGATGGTGTCAGGCAGCAGCCTCCCCGGCCCCTGCCTTGCCTTACCTCACCTCACCCCGCA